CACTGCAGTCACATTCTGGATGATGGTAAAAAGCAGAGACTTATGGCGGCAAATAGTGCTAACAGAGTTCAGCAATTTAGAGTGGAGGGAGCATTTCAGGATGTCACAGATGTTATTCATGAAACTGTGTGAACTTGTTCATCTCTGAATGAGTCCACTGTGTTCGTCTCTTAATGAGTCCACAGAAGTTTTCCATTCGTGCACCTGTACCGCTAGAGATGATGATGGCAATAGCACTGTACAAGCTGGCCAGCTGTGTGGAGAACAAGGTCAATACCAGACCTGAGTCACAAAAGAGCACTGTCAAAAAATAGGTGTATTTATCCTGCGCAATAACCGTGGCACATGAATTCCTTATGGTGCCAACCGAAGAGCAAGTATGAGACACAGCAAATCAATTTGAAAGCGCGATCAACAACCCCCAAATCACTGTACATGTATATGGCACACATATTCTTATACTGCCAGCCTCCCAATCACATGCCTACTTTGGTCAGAATGGTGATAAAGTGATTAAGGTGTTTACATATCTGCATACTTTGATTAACACCCACGCCAGCTAATCTGAATATGCTTGCTGAAATTATGAGCTTAAAAACACTATTTAGATCTAAATATTTTTATATTCATTTACTTGAGGTAACGGGCTATCAATCTATTTTTAATAACTAACTAATTATTTAAACATTTTGTGCAATTAATCAGTCATTCATTCATTTTCTTTTTGGCTAAGTCCCTTTTTTAATCCAGGGTCGCCACAGCGGAATGAACTGCCAACACTTCCAGCACATGTTTCACGCAGCGGATGCCCTTCCAGCTGCAACCCATCTCTGGGAAACATCCATATACACTCATTCACACACATACACTACGGACAATTTAGCCTACCCAATTCACCTGTACCGCATGTCTTTGGACTGTGGGGGAAACCGGAGCACCCGGAGGAAACCCAGGCGAACACGGAGATAACATGCAAACTCCATACAGAAATTCCAACTGACCCAGCTGAGGCTCGAACCGGCGACCTTCTTGTTGTGAGGCTGCAGCACTGCCTACTGCGCCACTGCATCATGCACAATTAATCATGATTAGAATTTTTGTTTAACTTGTAACACAGAGTTCTTCATGTAAACGACAACAAAACTTGCAATAAACCATCAAGATTCTCAAACAGTTGGCTTGAAAGCCATATTTATTACAGAAATCAAAACACAGGCGTGTGTCATTTGGTTTTCAAAACAATCAATGCCATTAAAAAACAAAAATGATTTCCATGTTGGATTCTAAGTGGACTGAAAAAAATGCCAAAATACAAATATGAAAATTGGAAAATTAGAATAATAAAGTAATGAATACAAACAATTGTACTCATTGAAAAGTTGTATTGCTGACAGTTAATTAACTTGATTTATGAAGTAAAAACAATTTAGCTTTGTCCTCAGCAAGTCTTCACCTTATAACTATAAGGTTCTGACTTTTTTGTCAAACTTGAGTTATTGACATTCTTATTGAATGACAACTTATTTACATAATGGGAAGTTTTTTCTTTATATAAGACTTTTTCTTTAAAAAAACAAATGTTACACTCCTCCATGACCACCACAGTAGCTGCTCAGGATACGGCCTGGTCCAGGATAATGGAAACCGGGGGATCATCTCGCTGCTGGTCTTGAATCGAATCAGTGGCACTGCATAGTCTGAGGGCCTCGGGATGAGTATCCCCAGGTGGAAAAAGAGCATAAATAGAATAATTCTCTAGTTTATAGTGTATATAAATGAAATGCAAAAACCTGCGTGTGGCACATTCATGTATCATTCCGCTAAGTGATGCACTGAGTGTATGCTTTGCTAAAAAGATGGGTCATTAATCTAGTTTTGAACTGCAAGAGTGTGTCTGAGCAACATTATCAGGAAGGCTATTCCAGAGCTTAGGAGCCATATCTGAGAAGGCTCGACCTCCTTTACTCGACTTTGCTATTCTATGTACTACCAGAAGATCTTAAAGAGCGAGTTGGATTGTAGCGCGACAGAAGGTTGGTTAGATAAACAGGAGCTAGATCATTTAGAGCTTTATAGGTGAGAAGTATTATTTTAAATTCAATATGAAACTTAACTGGCAGCCAGTGTAAGGAGGATAAAATTGGGAGGAATAAAAATGATCATATTTTCTAGACCTAAAGACATAGAAAAGATTACCCAGGAGGAATATAAACTCAATTGGCGAACTAAAGTACAACAAATAAAAAAGTTGGCGTGCTTCCACCAGATTAAACCTGGGTATGAACTGGCCCCATACCTGACCAACAATAATAGCCCCGGTCAGATAAAGCTGATGAGCCGGTACCGTCTGAGTGGACACAGTCTGAATGTGGAGACAGGCCGACACAAGCGCAGCTGGAGGAGCCCAGAGCTCAGACTGTGTCCACACTGCTCTGCTGGAGTTGTGGAGGATGAGCTGCACTTCCTCACTCACTGCAGCACATATCAGACCAGATGCTTACTTCACACACATGTATCTAATTCTGCCCCAATTCCAGCAAGCTACAAATACGGAGAAACTCTATTATATTTTGGGAGCAAATGAAAAGTGCCTCCATCTAGCAGCACAGTATGTGTCCTCATGCCACCATATGAGAGAAAAAGGCTAAACCCCCTTACTTCCTTATCATTTATTATTACATTCATTCATTCATTTTCTTGTCGGCTTACTCCCTTTATTAATCCATGGTCGCCACAGCGGAATGAACCGCCAATTTATCCGGCAAGTTTTTAGGCAGCGGATGCCCTTCCAGCTGCAACCCGTCTCTGGGAAACATCCACACACACATTCACACACACACTCATACACTACAGACAATTTAGTCTACCCAATTCACCTGTACCACATGTCTTTGGACTGTGGGGTAAACCGCAGCACCCGGAGAAAACCCACGCGAAGGCAGGGAGAACATGCAAACTCCACACAGAAACACCAACTGAGCCGAGGTTCGAACCAGCAACCCAGCGACCTTCTTGCTGTGAGGCGACAGCACTACCTAATGTGCCACTGCCTCGCCCCATTTATTATTACATACTTTTATTAATCTTTTTTTAATGTTTGTTTATTATTACTTATATTTCTTTTATCTATATGTGGGCCATTCTTCAACTATGGGCACTTTTAGCCTTGTGAAGTTGAGTAAAAAACTTGTTCAGAATTAACGTAACACAGCCTCATTAGTTTAAACAATTTGTCTAGTTTTAAGATCTGTAAGAGGACAAACTTAGATAAAAAGAGAAACATTTTTTTTCATCGTGAACTGAACAAATGTCAATTCCACCACATCTCAATATACAGCTTATTTCTAAATGAAATTAATCACGGCAGTCAAACATTGTCTAAAATCATTTTTTTGCATCTAGTTTAACGAATCTTTCCAAAATATATATAATAATTATACAATTTTCACTGAAATACATTAGTTGTATGCTGAATTGTACACCTGTCACACTCTAAAATTGAATAATAATTTGGTTAAGAGCTTATTAGAAAGTAAATAAACTGAATTTGTATATTAAATAAAGCATAAAATTATACACTTTTAATATGTGATGAGAACTTTTTAATATATTTTTAAAAATGTTTGTGGTGATGGAAATGACATTTCAACAGTTTATTGTTGAAAAAATTAAAAATACAGATTAGCTTTGAATTGATGCTAGCCTTTCATTTATACAAAACAATCTTATATACCTTCATTTTGTTTGGTTTTTAAAAACATCTTTGAAGGTACAACATGTTTGGAAATGACATGGAATAAATGTATTTCCTTATCAAGCAATATTTACCTTGATTTTCTTGATTGAAGTGTTGTTTATAAAAATGAAAACTCCCTCCATCTTGAACATGTTCTCAGATGTCACTATTCATTTTCATAGAAGTCACCTAATTAATCTTTCACACAAACTTTTTAAAGCGACAGTACAGTGTTGTGATGGAAATGACACTGATACTGTGTGACAGCTATATTTTGTAAATAGTTTGTATACATATATATATATATATATATATATATATATATATATATATATATATATATATATATATATATATATATATATATATATATAATAGTCTCACATTAATAACTATAAAATATTTAGCTTATTTCACTAGTGCTTAATCAAGATACATAAATAGATACCAGATAAATAATATTTTAAAATATTTCTTTCATTGTTGAAGTTTAAAACTCTGGGTGTGCGACAAGGTGAAAACTGTGATTTTGACACCTAAAAGGAGGTTGAATAATAGGGAAAAAATAATAGAAAGCTAGTAAAAAAAAAAAAATTAAAGTAGGTTTTATTGTTAGTTTGACAAAGAAGGAGAAATTTGAACAAAATTATATCTATTTTTGGAAATCAAAGGACATAAAAGTGCCCGTAGTTAAAGAATTACCCATGTATGTTCTGTTTTGTTATTGCATTGACAACATTGTGATTTGTTTTACAGTCATGCCAATAAAGCTATTTAAATTTGAATTTGAGAGAGACAGAGAGAGAATCATCACATGCGTAATGAATGTCATCAAGGCATTTGTGTAGACAGAAGCCAGTTCAACAGCGGTTTCAATAACTGTGGCTAAGAATAGCTAGCCACAAATGCCTGACTAATTAACACACAGGAAGCCTTTGTGACGCGGTAGCCTATGCGACTGAAAGGGCTTCAGGTTCGTTCTGCAGTTACTGATACAGAACAATAAAGAAATGTCAATCAGACAGCAATTCAGAGCATTGTTTCCCAAACCTGTCGTGTCTGTCAAACCCCACCACTGCACATTTCACACATCTGATTCAGCTCAGCAGCTCATTAGTAGACACTGCAAGAACTTAAATGAGGGAGCCATACAAATTGTGTGCTGCAAGGCGGTGTCAAGAGCATCATTATTTTCATACGAGGCTATTTTGTGTGTGCAATGTGTGTTTTAAAGCTTGATTGCATATTTCTCTTTTCTCTGCAGGACCCAGTGAACTCGACCTCAGTCTGATCGCAGACAGCAGCAGTCTGACAGATGTACCTGCCAAATTTGATGAGCAGGTATGAAAATGTCTGTTTTTTTGGCTTCTTTGTCGTCTTCTTTTTTAAGTATAGACATTAGCTTGACTCTATGGTCAAGCATTTTTCTTTGCTTTTCTTTGTTGGCTAAACTGGATAACAAAATGGTGCTGGTAGTTTTTTTTAGTCAAAAACTTACTAAAAACAACAAACTGCAGCAGTTTGTCAGAACTTACCAAATTACTGAAATTTAACATTTCAAAACAAAGATTATAAGTGCATTTCTGTTTAATTGGTCACACTTTATTTTGATGGTCCGTTTGTTGAGTTTGTCACATTGCATCTACATGCCAACAAATTCTCATTAGATTATACAGTAAATAGACTGTTAGGTTGGGGTTAGAGTTAGGGTTAGTGTATGTTGACATGTACTTGCAAAGTTTCTTATAGTCAGTTAAATGTCTGTTGAAGGAGAATGTCAATAGATATTAAGCAGACAGTCTACTAATACTTAATTGGACCATGAAAATAAAGTGCTAAGAGCTTTTTTTTTTTTTTTTTTTTTACAAAACTCAGTCTATGGCAGTCTATGTGGGTTAAATTGTGGTTTGTTTTGTAACTTGTAACTTCAATTCCATTGCACATATATATATATATATATATATATATATATATATATATATATATATATATATATATATATATATATATATATATATATATAGTCAGAATTATTAGCCCCCCTGACTTATTAGCGCCCCTGTTTATTTTTTTCCCCAATTTCTGTTAAATGGTGGGAAGATTGTTTCAGCACATTTCTAAGCATAATAGTTTTAGAAACCTATTTCTAATAACTGATTTTTGAAAAGGGGGCTAATAATTCTGACTTTAACTGTATATATATGAATTCAGAATTATTAGCTTACTTTTACTTATTAGCCCCTTTGAGCTATTTTGTACGATAGTCTACAGAACAAACCACTGTTATACAGTAACTTGTTTAATTACCCTAATCTAACTAGTTAACCTAATCAACCTAGTTAAATCTTTAAATGTCACTTTAAGCTGTATAGAAGTATCTTGAAAATATCTAGTCAAATATTATTTACTGTCATCATGGCAAAGATAAATATATCAGTTGTTAAAAATGAGTTATTAAAACTATTATGTTCAGAAAGGTTTTGAAAAGAAATCTGCTCTCTGTTTAACAGAAATTGGGTAAAAAATAAGGCTAATAATTCTGACCTCAACTGTGTGTGTGTGTGTGTGTGTATATATATATATATACACACACACACACACACACACACACACACACACACACACACACACACACTCTCTCTCTCTCTCACCAGCCACTTTATTTAGCCATATAGACATTGTCAAAACCATCTACTAAAGTTCAAACCGAGTATCAGAATAAGGAAGAAAGGTGATTTAAGTTACTTTAAACATGGCATGGTTGTTGGTGCCAGATGGGCTGGTCTGAGTATTTCAGAAACTGCTGATCTTCTGGGATTATCACGCAAAACCATCTATAGAGTTTACAGAGAGATGAAAAAGAGAAACTATCCAGTGAGCGGCAGTTCTGTGGGCGCAATTGACTTGTTGATGCCAGAGGTCAGAGGAGAATGGCCAGACTGGTTCCAGCTGATAGAAAAGCATGCTAAAGAATGCAGAACAACGTCTGTCGCTGGATCCGAGGAGTGAGATTTACGCGATCACCAGCTGGCTTCCGTTACATAAGGGCAAATATAGATGACTAAAACCTCATTTAATCATTTTTCTCATACTTTTTATTATTTACAATGTCCAAGGCATTAATATTAATATTAAATTCTACTTTTGTGCCTTTATTAGCTTTTTTCTCGCCTGTTTACTGGGTTAAAAATCTTACATTATTCCATCTCCACCTGCTGGTGAAAGCTAGAGCAGCTGGCGATCTTCAATCTGCAATCTATTGCTTCTCCTGCAGTTCCCCTTCGGTTGGGGAACTTCAGTGCCATGAATGGGAGGATTCGGATCAGAAGCCGCTTATCTGGAGAGTATTGAACGGGCCAATGAATGAAATTAATTGGCAGCGTAAGCTTGCGCAGGTGTGCGACATCTGCAATTATCTCAGCATATAAGCACACCTGAGCCAGCAGACGCCATCCTTTTCGCTTCAGATCCTTTCTGAGTGAGTCGATGAGGGTTCCTCTTGCTGATCAGCACTTCAGAGCGAACGAGTGTGTCTCCCGGTCCAGAGTGGGTCTTCGCGGTGGCAGACGTTCGAGCTGGGTTACTCCCTTGCCTGCGGTTCTTTGGGTCCGGTCCTCCAGAGCGGTGCGTATAGTTGCAACTTTCCTAAAAGAGCAACACAGTCGTGCAGCACGTCCTTTTCAGGATGGCGCTCCGACTGTGCGTTTCTGGATGCGGGGGTTTCCTGTCTCCGGATGATGGACACGATCACTGCATTGCATGTTTGGGGGTCCAGCATGTTAATGCGGTGCTCGCGGGCGGTTCATGTCGTCATTGCGATGCCATGACCGTTGCACAGCTAAGATCGCGGCTAACTTTCGCAAGAGAGCGAGCCACCCCAGTTGCCTCCTGTTCTAAAAAAGCAGCGGGCGCTCGGGCAGATCTGAGGGTTTCAGCGGGAGCTAATCCGCCGCCCACGGGCTCGCGGACCTCTCGCTCCTCACGGCGCTCCATCCAAGCTTCGGGTGGTGAGAGTGATCCGTCTAACCAGATGGTAGCTCTCACACTCGCTGACACCGGAGATCAGATGTCCTCCGCGGCATCGGAGGGTGGGCTTTCACTGTCCGACGAAGATCCGGACCCGCTCGCCCCCTCCGGGCAGGTGAGCGCTGTCAAATCGGATCCTGAAGCGGACATGTTAGCCGTGCTTTCCCGGGCTGCTTCGGCCGTGGGGTTGGAGATGGTTTATCCCCCAGCTCCGCGGCCGGACCGACTAGATGGGTGCTACGTAGAGGACCAGAAGGCGAAGCCTTCGAAGCCTCTCGTCCCCTTCTTCCCGGAAGTGCACAGTAGGCTCACGCAATCCTGGAGGGCACCTTTCTCTGCCCGTGCTGCGAGTGCCTCCGCCCTCACCGCCCTTGACGGCGGAGCTGCCAGGGGGTATGAGGCGATCCCGTCAGTGGAGCGCGCTATCGCGGTCAATCTTTGTCCGCGCGGCGCCTCTACGTGGCGGGGTTTGCCCCGCCTCCCGTCCAAAGCCTGTAGGTTGTCTGCCTCCCTCGGAGCCAGAGCTTATAAGGCTGCGGGCCAGGCTGCTTCTGCTTTGCACGCGATGGCCACCTACCAGCGCTACCAAGCGCAGGCGCTGGCCGAGCTGCACGAGGGCGGGTCCAACCCAAGCTTATTACATGAGCTGCGCACCGCGACCGACTATGCTCTTCGGACTACTAAGTCCGCCGCGTGTGCGCTGGGGAGGACGATGTCCACACTTGTGGTTCAGGAACGCCACCTCTGGCTAAACCTGGCCGATATGCGCGACGTTGACAAAGTTCGCTTTCTTGACTCGCCCATATCCCAGGCTGGCCTGTTCGGCGACACCGTCGGTGAATTCACCCAGGAATTCAAGGCGGTGAAAGAGCAGTCGGATGCAATGGGCAATGTCATCTATCGGCGTGGCCGTAAGCCCGCTCCGCCCGCCGAGCCATCCACCTCCGCTGTTCCTCGCCGAGGGCGCCCGCCAACGAGTGCTGCCCCGCCCCCGCCTGCGCCTCCGGCCAAGCGGGCGCGGCGTTCACCTCGAAAGCAGGCAGCCCCTCCTGCCCAGGGCGCCGTTAAGTCCGGTAAACGGACCGCGAAGTGTCCCTGAGACAGGCCATCCGGAGAAGAGGAAACTTGCTCTTTCCCCGCTGGAGGGCGGGGCCCCGATAACAACGGTACTTTTCAGTGCCACCAAAACATCAGTAAAAGAGCACTTTTTCCCTTCCCCGGATGTGACTGCACGAGTTCTGCCAGTCCGGGACGCGCTGCCTTCCGGCTCGCAGACTCTACGTGCTTCGCCAGTGGCTCACGAGCGCTGGGGGGACGGTCTCCCTTCCCTCAGCCCTCCAGCCCCCTCTCCGGAGTCAGGGTGCGGAGCCAGAGCGAATCGCTCTCCTCCAGCTTTTCCGCGGGACCCTCGTGCTTCCCGGATCAGCACACCCACTCCGCGCTGCCCCACCGCTGGTACGTCAGCGATTGTAGCGATGACTCCATTAGCGAGGGCTCTGCCTGCCTGGTTAGCGCGGGCCAGCCCCTCGCGGTGGCTCATACGCACAATCAGACTCGGTTACGCGATTCAGTTCGCGAAATGGCCCCCCAAGTTTACGGGCGTGTATTTCTCCAGGGTCAACCCCCTGTCCGCCCCTGTCTTGCGAGAGGAGATTGCTGCCCTCCTGGCGAAGGGTGCAATCGAGCCGGTTCCTCCAGCCGAGATGGAGAGTGGGTTTTACAGCCCATACTTCATCGTACCCAAAAAGAGCGGTGGGTCACGGCCAATCCTAGATCTGCGCGTTTTGAACCGCTGTCTGCACAAGCTGCCGTTCAGAATGCTCACGCAGAGGCGCATTCTCCAATGCGTTCGTCCTCGGGATTGGTTTGCAGCCATAGACCTGAAGGACGCGTATTTCCATGTCTCCATTCTTCCACGCCACCGCCAATTTCTGCGGTTTGCGTTCGAGGGTCGAGCGTGGCAGTACAAGGTCCTCCCCTTCGGGCTCTCTCTGTCTCCGCGGGTCTTCACCAAACTCGCGGAGGGTGCCCTAGCGCCCCTTCGGCTCGCGGGCATTCGCATACTCAGTTATCTCGACGACTGGCTGATTTTAGCCCACTCGCGGGAGCAATTGATTATGCACAGGGACGAGGTGCTTCGGCATCTCCGCCTACTGGGGCTTCAGGTCAACCGAGAAAAGAGCAAACTCGCCCCCGTGCAGAGGATTTCTTTTCTCGGGATGGAGCTGGACTCGATCACCATGGTAGCGCACCTCTCCGAGGAACGCGCTCGCCTGTTGCTGAACTGTCTGAGGGAGCTCGACAGCAAACTAGTG